GAGATTTGAACCGCCGAACTGCAGAACTGCAGTCAGCTGAAGTAGCCTGCAGTACTGCACCCTAACCACTGTGCCACCTCCGCTCTTAGTGTTGGGGGCACCCAGCCTTCTGCCTATTTAGAGACCAGGCTTCTTGAACACCCCCACCCTCACCCCTGACCTGGACAGCTGCAATTCAGAGAACCCCTGAAACCCTAGCCGAGCTCTGTTGCCTGACCAGAGAGGAGAGGGTTGGGGGGGGTGGCTGGCTACCTGGCAGCAGGGGGGACAGCCCAGGGCAGCAGCTGTCCTCCCCTCCTCCCAGCCAGGCAACCTCTCACCCAAATTCCAACCCCTATTTATAGCACAGGCGGCCTGGCAGGACAGCCCCCTTGTTCCCGCCAGCAGCAGCCTCACGTTTGGCAGCAGAGCATCTGCGGACCGCCCCGATTCTGCCCTTATCATGCCAGGCAGGGGGGCGCATCCCTACTACCAGCCCTCGCTTGGCCTCTGCTGCCTGGAAACCCACCCAAGAGGTTTCCAGCGTTTAGCCTGGCTTGTTGGTTAGCTAAGAAATGGATAAGGAATGGAACCATGGCTCAGTCAGTGCATCAAGATAACGGGCTCCGCTGGGAGGGGGGCTGAGACCCCCCCTTTCCCTGCCATAGGACCTCCCCCGCCCCATTTGCAGCTGACCTTGAGCCTGCAGTGGAAGGAGCCCGTGGCAATTCTGCCCTTCTCTGTCCTGGCAGATTCCTTGTGCAAGAGGGGTGCTTCTTGCACCCCGATGCCTTTAGCCCAAATGGTATGTGCGGAGCCGCCCGGGAGCCGCTCCTCACCCGGGAAGCCCCTGCGCCGGCCGACCCCAGGGATGCAGCCTGGGGCTTCCAGGAGGGGGTGTCCGCCCGGCGTCCCCCACAGGACCCGAGAGGGGGACAGGGCCGGAGGGAGGCGGCGGCGGCGGCGAGTCTCCCCAGGGCCCGCAAGGCCCCCAACGGCGCAGCCTGTGGAGGGAGGCTACGGACGCCCCAGTGGGAGGGGAGGGGGGCGCCGGGTCTTTGCATTGCCACCCTGAGTCGGGTCAGATGCCGCCCAGCCACGTCGGGAAGCCGGTGCCTCGGGCGAAGGGCAGCTGGGCCAGGGAGGGAGGGAGCCGAAGCGCCCTTGGTGGGGACGGGGCCAGGACGGGACAAGGGCGGGCGGAACCGCGGCCGGCGCGGCGGTTGGGCGGAATCCTGAGGGTGCCGCGCGCAACGGCCGGGGAAGAGCAACGGGAGAGGGGGCGGCAGTGGCGGCAGTTTACAGGCGGGGCCCGCGCGGGGTTGGGCGCCAGGGCCCCGCCCCAAGGGAGAAGCCCCCCCGTGGGCCGGGGCGCAAAATGGGGAAGGGGCGGGCCAGGCGAAGAGCGACGTGGCGGAGGCGGCAAAGACGGGTGGGGCGCTCCGTCCTGCGGGCAAAGCGGCTGCGGAGTCCCGGCCGGCGCCCCGCTTTCCTCGCTCCAGCAACCCAAGAGGGGGGGAACCGTCGTGGGAGACCCGAGATCCCCGACTGGGGGGCCTTCGAGTAGAGGTTCCGCCTGGGGATCCCCGTAAGCGCCCCGCCTCTTCTCAAGCACGTCCGAAGGCGCCCCCACCCCCACCCTCGTAGAAGGCGAAGGGGGCCTCTTGAAGCGCTGGACGGGCCGCGCAGGAGTTAGACTCGGGGGAGGGGCCGGGCCGGAGGGACCGCCCGCTTCCTCTTCCCTACTAGGGCGGCCGCCGCCCCCGCCGGGTGTCCGGTTACAGGAGGGCCGCCAGGGGGAAGGCAGAGTCTGCGGGCCGGGGCAACCGGACTTTTCCTCCCGCGCGGACAGAGCGGGCTCCCCGTCCGGCCGGTGAGATCCGGGGCTGCCCTGGGGCGGGGGTCCCTGGCCCTTCGGCTCGCGCGGCGTGCCTCGCCCGGGGAGGCAGGAGGGGGCTCCAGCCCAGCCGGACTCCTCCCCCTCGGAGTCCTTCAGTCCCCGACGGGCCCCCTCCCTCCCCGCCGCCCCTAGCCGCCCAAGTGTCCCGGGGGGAGGGGCTCCGAAGATGCCCGTGAGTCTCCCCCCCCTTCCTAAGATCAAAGCTCCTTCACCTTGAAAAGACGGAGGTTGGGCGCCTGGTTGCTTCTCTGGCCAAAGTCCGAAGATTCGCTCTTCCAAAAGATTCGCTCCTTTTAGGGTTTTGGATGCCTGAAGACCCCGCCCCCCACAGCCCTCGTTTGTTACAGCTGGAGCCCCCCAGGCTGTCGCCCAAGAGAGGGTCCTTTCCTTCTGGAGCGGAGCAGAGCAGAGCAGAGCAGAGCAGCCGGAGGCGGCTTTCCTAGGGCAGCTGCGCTAGCAGAATCCGAGGGAGGGGGGGAGGGGGTCTGCCTGAAATCCCTGGGTAGGGTCTTGCTCAACCAGCGGAATCCGGGGACAGCCGGGACGCCTGTTTCCTGAGCGGGTTGCAGCCAAAGAGGCGGGCTGGCTGGGTGACAGCCTTTTGTTGATCTCCAGCAGGATGCGGGGGGGGGGGGTGACACTCAAAAGCCCTGGGCTTCAAAGGAAAGTCCACTCCAGAAGTCTGTGGATTGAGGAAGGGTCCGGGGAGGGGCGTGCAGAGGTTGGGGCACCTGCTGCCAGGCTCTGCTTCAGACCTGCTCTGAGTCACCTCCAGAAATGCTGGGCCAGTTGTGAAAAGAAGGATGAAAGGAAGGAAATAAGGAAGAAATGAAGGAAAAGAGGGAGGAGGGAAGGAAAAGAGGGAGGGACGGAGGGTGGGTGGGTGGATGGAAGAAAGGAGGGAGGGAGGTGGGTGGAAGGAAGGAAATGAAGAAATGAAGGAAAAGAGGGAGGGAGATGAATGGATGGAAGAAACAAAGGGAGAAACAAAGGGAGAAGGAAGGGTCCCTGAGTCACCTCAACTGGAGTGGCTTCCTGCTGCCCCTCCCCATCTCCCTCCCTTCCCACCTGGTGTGGGGTGGGTTGAAGAGGAGGCAGCAGAGATGGAGGGGGGAATTCTGGCTGGGGGCCCTAAGATAGACCTTAAACCGAATAAATAATAAATACAATAGGCACTTCATCCGCTCTTGGGGGAAGCAGGGGGGGGCTCTCTGTCACCAGGGTCCCGGAGGGCCCTTCTCCCTCCCAGCTGGGCCTCCCCTCCCTCCCTCTCTCCCTCCTGGCTAGGGCACCCGCCCCCCTGTGCCTGATGCCAGCCTGGGATGCCAGCCTCACATGACGGAAACAGCCTCTCCAGCCAAGCGGGTCCTTGTGTAAACAGACGGTGGCTGCAGATCAGCTGGGGGGGGGAAGGATGTGGGGGGGAAGGAGGAAGGGAAGCTTTGCCCCCAGGCCCTCAGGGCAGCTTTGACTCTGGTCCCCCCTGTCTCCCCACAGATCTAGGGGCCAAGAGGAGCGGAAGAGAGAGAGGCTGCTGCTGACACCCAGCAGGTTAGTGGGATGGGGGGGGGCTCACTGGAGGGGGCCCTAGCACAGACCCACATAGACCCCTGAGCTGGGATCCATGGACCTTTGTGGGCGAGGGGGCGGGGGTGGGGAGGCCGGTGAGGGGAGGGAGGCCTCCAGCAGAGACCCTGCTCCAGACGATTCCAGTTTGGGGGCCGAGAGGGGAGAAAATGGGGGTCCTGTGATGGGAAAGGATTCCTGGGCTGGCAGCCAGCCGGGTGGACGGTTTCCGGGGCCTCCTGGGCCCCCTTGTCCTCCCCCCCCAAGGAGGTCTCACCACCCCCTCCCAGGCAGAATGCCACCCCACCCCCTGGTCCCCTTTGGCTGAGCAGAGTCCGGCCCTGGGGCCCTCGGGGACCCTCTTGGCCAGCCCCCCCCTCACACCCACAGAAGGAGTGCAGAAGGGCGGCACTCTGCACATGCTCTGAGGAGGCCCCGTGCTTCTTTCCTTCCGGGGGTCAATGGGATTGGAATGGAGGGGGAGGGGAACCAAGAAGCTCCCAAGACGGAGCAGCATCCGGGTGAAGAAGACCCTCGCCCCAATTCCTCCTCCCAGGCAAGATGGCAGAAGCCCACCAGGCAGTGGCCTTCCAGTTCACCGTCACTCCGGACGGGGTGGACTTCCGGCTGAGCCAGGAAGCCCTAAAGCAGATCTACCTCTCGGGCCTCCATTCCTGGAAGAAACGCTTCATCCGGCTGAAGGTCAGCTGGGGGGGGGGCACACGGGCAAGGGGGGGTCCTGGCAAAATCTGGGCCAGCCCCAGGCCATGGGTTGGGTGGAGCTGTTGGCCTTGAGGGTGAGCAAGGGGCCGGACCTTGGCCTGGCTGCCCCCTCCCCTCCCCTGGCAGGCCGGGCATCTGGGGCTGGGTTTGAGGGTGGCCCCACGGCCCCCCTCCTTGCCAGGGACCCCAATCGTGTGGTTGCTGTCCCAGCTTTTACTCGGCCAGAAGGGGCAGGCAGGGTTGTCTTTAGAGCCGGGGGGGAGGGGGCTTAAATGCGGGCGGGGGGCTCCCGGCCTTCCCAGCCCCTCCCCCTGACAGGCCCGATCTCACAGAACAGCTTCCTGACTGGGGTGTATCCCGGCTCCCCCTCCGGCTGGCTGGCCATCTCTGCCGTGACCGTGGGCAGCACCTGGGTCCACGTGGATCTCTCCAGGGGGGCCATCAGCAGAATCCAGAAGCACCTGCTCTCCAGGTGAGCCCCAGTCCCGGCCCCTCCCTCCCCCCCTCCCTCCCAGGGCCTGGCAGGGGAAGCCCTCCAGTGGGGCTTGCAGGGGGCCTCCTGAGGTGGGATGATGGGGGGGGCTGTGGGAAGACCCTGGGGTCCTGCAGCTGCAGCTCCCACCCTGAGCCCTTGAAAGCGGGGGGATGGGGGCCCATGGGGTGGGGGAACTCCTGGAGGCAGCCGTACGCCCCCCTCAAGGGCCTGCCCGGACCACCGTCCAGAACCCCCCCCTCCCCCTGTGTCCCTCCAGCTGCAGCCGCTACTTCAACCTCCGCCAGCAGACCCTGCTCAGTGCCCTGATCTTCTCCACGGGCGCCTGGGTCCTGGGCATCTGGCTGCGCCGCCAGATGTTGAAGGTGCTGCTCTCCTACCACGGCTGGATGTTCGAGCCCCATGGCAAGACCAGCTTCAGCACCAAAGTCTGGGTGGTGAGGAGGCCCCGGGGACCGAGTGGGGGCCCTCCCTGGTAGGGGAAGGGAAGCCTCGCCCTCCGGCTCCCCACAAGGCCAGGGGGCCCGGCTGGGGCCAAGGCGTGGTGGGGCTGCCCAGGGCCCCTCCCCTCCCCTCTCTGCCTGACCGCCCCCCCCCTTGCAGGCCTTAGTGAAGGTCATGTCCGGGCGCCACCCGCTGCTCTACAGCTTCCAGACCTCCCTGCCCAAGCTGCCAGTGCCCCGCGTGGAGGACACCATCCAGAGGGTAAGGGGCTGCCCTCCGCCCCCCACCCCTGCCCCCCAGAGGGGGAGGGCCCATCTGCCTTGAACTGGAAGGGCGTGTGGAGCATGGGGGGCTGCCTTGAGGGTAGGCGGGTGGCTAAAGGGTCCCTGATGGGATGGGGGCAGAGAGGGGGTCCCTAAGTGCCTTTGCCATGTCTGAGGGGGGGCTGCCTGTAGCCCCTGTTTCTTGCCTCTTCCTGCTGGGGGGGAGGGAGGGAGGGAGGGGGGCAGGCAGTGCCCCAGTTGCTGCTTCTGGCTGGCTGGGCTGGGGAGCCACAACAGACCCGGAGTGTCATGTCCCAGTTTGAAGGGGGGGCTCCATATTCCCAGAGAGAAGAGACCCCCCCCTCCCAGTTCAGTCCGTGGAGGCTAAAGCAGGGGCTGCCTGGGGCTCTGGGCAAGGTCCACGTGGGCCTGGGGGGGGGAGGAATGGTAGAACACCCCCCCCCCCAATCGCTGCTCCTTTCTTTGCCTGCAGTATCTGGAGTCTGTGCAGCCCTTGCTGGAGAAGGAGAAGTTTGAGCAGATGGAGGTCCTGGCCAGGGACTTCCAGCAGAAAGTGGGCACCCGCCTCCAGAAGTTCCTAGTCCTCAAGTCCTGGTGGGCCACCAACTACGTGAGTTCCTGCACCCCTCCTCCCCTCACGGCCCCTGGTCCTTGGAGCCCAGCCTGTGGAGGGAGCCTCCTGCGGGAGAGTGCCCCCCCCAGCAGCCCCCCAAGGAAGCCGTTCTCTCCCCACAGGTGAGCGACTGGTGGGAGGAGTACATCTACCTGCGAGGGAGGGGCCCCATCATGGTCAACAGCAACTACTACCTCATGGTGAGTCTCAGCCGCTGGGGGGCTCCGTGGGGCAGAGCCTGGCGGGGCCCCCCCCCCTGCCTGCCAGGTCATCAGCTGCTCCCTCCTTCCGCCCTCCCCCCCCCGCAGGACTTTCTCTACATCACCCCCACGCCCATCCAGGCTGCCCGAGCGGGCAACTGCGTGCACGCCATCCTGAAGTACCGGCGCCAGCTGGACCGGGAAGAGCTTGCGCCTGTGAGTAGAAGTTTTGGGGGGTGGGGGTCTTACAAGGGGCCCCACACAGCCCTTTCCCAGAAGCCTTCTGGAGGAAAATGTGGCCCCTCCAGGAAGGCCTGCCCACCCCCTGGCAAATCCCCTCTTCCCTCATCCAGAGAGCTTCCCTGGGCTTCTGGGGGAGGGGGCTTGGCTGGGTTAGGGGCTTCTTTGGAACCCCCCAACTGAAGGACCCATTTCTCCCCCAGTTCTGCTGGGAAGAGAAATCCTCCTGGCTGCCTTGGTGCCAGTCGTGGCCCCCATGGGGAAAGGGGCTTGTGGGGAGGGGGAGTTCACTGCCTACTCCTCTGCCCTCCCCCCTTGCCCAGTGCCCCTTCTCCGCTCAGATGCCCCCAGGCTCCGGCCTCCTCTAGCGCCAGGCTGAGCCCGAACCCCTCGGCCTCTCTCTGCCCCCAGGTGATGGCGCTGGGCGTGGTGCCCATGTGCTCCTACCAGATGGAACGGATGTTCAACACGACGCGCATCCCTGGCAAAGAGGCAGGTGGGCAGCGCTGGGGGAGGAAGGCGCCAAGCGTCCAGATTGTGACCCTCCCCAGGGAGGCCGCAGGGGGGGGGTCACAAGGGTGAAAAACGGCCATGAGGCACTTTTTTCAGCGCTGCCATCGTAACCTTGAACGGGCACTCAGTGGAGGGACGTAAGCTGAGGACCAGCTGAATCAGGAACTGACCCAGGTGGGGGAAGGGAGGGTTGGAGGTGGCTGGCCAATCATCTCAGAGGCAAGAAAGTTGACCCTTGACTTCGGGACCCCACACCCTCCTCCTCCTCCTCCTTCCAAGCCCCGGAAGCGGGGAAGGGGGGTCGCGCGATTTGGAGGTCAGCGTGGAGCAGAATCGCTCCAGCCAGAGGTCAGCCCCCCTGGGCCTTCAGGGACCGCAGGGTGTGTGTGTGTGTGTGTGAGACCTGTCACTCATCCCCACCCCCCACCCACCCCCAGACTCCCTCCTGCACCTGGCCGACAGCAGGCACCTGGCCGTCTTCCACAGAGGCCGCTTCTTCAAAGTCTGGCTCTACCACGGGGGGAAGCACCTGCCCCCCCGGGACCTGGAGATGCAGTTCCAGCGCATCCTGGACGACCCCTCCCCTCCGCAGCCGGGGGAGCTGAGGCTGGCAGCCCTCACTGCGGGGAGCAGGTAGCCCGTGCGGGAGGGGGACGGGGAGGGGGCACCCCCACACACACACAGTGGGAGGAGCGGGCACGACCAGGGGTGCCCGCGTGCACTCTGAGCCCCAGAGCGTGGGCTGCCTTGGAGGCACGCATGGCAGCCGGGGCACCCCTCCTCCTCCTGCCCCTTCCAGGGTGCCCTGGGCTGAGGCCCGTGCCAAGTTCTTCAGCCGGGGCAAGAACAGGGCATCGCTGGACTGCATCGACCGAGCCGCCTTCTTCCTGGCCCTGGACGAAGAGCCGCAAGGCTTCAGCCCTGAGCGGGAGGAGAGCCTCAGCGACTACGCCAAGAGCCTCCTGCACGGGCACTGCTACGACCGGTGAGGGCATCCCTGGCACGCAGGCATCCGGCCCCAGGTGGGCTGGGCTGGCACTGGGGGGTTACTTTGGGGTTCCCTTTGCTATTCTCCCCAATTGCTCAAGGCGGTTGAATCGATCCCACACCCTTCCTTCCTCCTCCCCCTTTCCCCCCCACAACAACCCTGCGAGGTGGGTTGGGCCGAGAGAGAGGAACCGGCTTTTGGGGTTAAGGCAAGGCCTGCACTCACCGTTGGTCTCTCTCTCGCCTGGTGCTTTAACCACTAGACCAAACTATTCCCTCTCCATCCTGGGCCCCACT